CTAATAAAAATATTGATAATAACAAAGGCCACAAAGAGGGAAAAACTATGGAAATCATACCAAATAAGGTGGAGGAAGCAGATTAAAGAAAGAAGAAGAAGAAAAAAAAAAGGGAGAAACTAGCATTACTGTAAATTTTCTTCTTGGAAAAACTAATCAAATTGTGAACAAAGGAGGTCATCAAATTATCAGTGTCTCTCACAAACGGCTATGCATGCTATTTGTATTGACATTATCAAATCAAGAGACTTCTGTTTCGTACCTGAAGTTCCTGGGTTCCGTTACCCTAATCTGTGCCTTAACGTCTTCAAAATCACAAGACTACGTGCATTTTCTACTAGAATCAAACTACCACACCATAGCCTTTTGAAATCAATTGCCTCCTACCTTTAGACACCTTCACTTGATCAATCCCAAACATGTTGCATGTTGAGGCTGCAGTGTTGGTTACTATTCTCATCAGTAGAAAATGCATTAGCATTCACGCTGTTTATGGATATCTCGATTTTACATATCCGAAATATGTGTATGTCCGTGTATGTCTGGGTGCGTGCGCCTGTGTGTATGCTTATGTATGTGAATGTACAAGCCTGTTTGCACATACAAGTCAATATGCAAATACATTGCTGTGTACATGCAATCATGCATGTGTGACTAATGGTTTATGCTTAAAGGAACTAAGGAATCCATTCTTTGAAGCACAAAATCCTCTACTAAAGAATAATGCCTTAAAAAATCAACTATCCCAAAATAAGGCAAGAGGATAAGAACATTGTATTTTTGAAACTGACAAGCTTAAAGCTATGTTAAGACTTCCTACAATCGTGAAATATCTAGCATAAGAAAACTGTGTCAAAAACTGATTTGTGTTACAATTTCTTTTTGTATATGACCATTAGTCTCTGTTTGTGTACTGATCTGTGTACCTGTGTGTGAGGTCTATGTGTCAGCCTGTTTTTGAATGTATGTGTATATACACATGCGGATGCAGACAAGTAGTGCAGATAAAAACTCATACATTAGAGCAGGAGAATAGGTGAATGTAAAGTACAGCCTTTGCATGGTCAATAACTGATATGCAAAACAAATCACACAGAACCTAATAAGACATTCTGATGCTACTGAACAAGATCTTAACAGAAGCAAAACAGTACTTAAAATTATGTTGATTCTGCAATCTCTATTAACTAATTTGACCTTTTTTATGTTAAAAGAAAATTTTAATGAATTTAAACGAATTACAGAAAATGTAGAATCCATTAATCAAAGATCCAGAGGACAAAAATCAGAAAAGATAATATATACATAACTATAAGAATAGGGATAATAAAAAGATGACCATAAAAAAATGCTAACTTATTTTTCCTCTTCGATCTCAAAGAAGACCAAGCAAGCTGCTTTCAGTCATCTCAGTGTCCTAGAAAAGACCTTTACATGAAGTTCAGTTGCCCTGCTACCTAAACACCAACTCCACTCCACATATCTAAGGTTGGTATGTATGATTACATACAAGTAGCTCCTCCTCTACTTGAGACTTCTAATAAACATCTAAAGAGGAGAGGAGAGAAAGAGGAGAGGTGAGGAGAGAGAAAGAAAGAAGGGAGTGAGGGAGGGAGGGAGGGGAGGGGAGAGGGAGGGGGGGGAAGGGGAGGGGGAGGGGGAAGGGGAAGGGGAAAAGGGGGGGGAAGAGAGAGAGAGAGAGAGAGAGAGAGAGAGAGAGAGAGAGAGAGAGAGAGAGAGAGAGAGAGAGAGAGAGAGAGAGAGGAGAGAGAGAGAGAGAGAGAGAGAGAGAGGAGGGAGGGGGGGGCAGGGGGAAAGGGGGGGAGAGAATGAAAATAACAGATAAATAGATTTTTAGTGCACAGATAACAGCATCACATTATGCATGCCTTTTTTAATAAAGAGAACCCACTGGATACTAAAGAGAGAAGAAAACTGAAATATGCCAAGCACCATCAACTGGATCACTGACATACTTAAGAAAAAAAAGAAAATAATATACAAGTGTCTTTTAGATCTTATTACCTATGTAAAAAATATACTAGTGTGTGAGTAAATGGAACATTAATCTTTAGTCAGCTGGTATTTAATGTACTGAAGTCAGGTCAGTGCAAATATGTAAGATACATAGTCCATTCTCCTAACATACCACTTCAACATCATCCAGCAACTTGGGTCTAAGATGAAAACAGGCACAAGTCTCTCCAAAGGAAGCAAAAATATTCCAAAAATTTCCTCCTACATACTGACAAATACAGTACAAATATTTAAGTGTGTACAGCTATGAATATAGTTTTGTGTGAGACTAACTCTCTAGGTGAATTCAGGCACTGAAGGAACTGCCAACAGAGAGGGAACTTGGAAAATAGTTTTGCAGTGGGTAGGAATGAGGCAGTACATTGGTAATAGGAAAAGATGATGGCCTTTAGTGGTGGCTTGCTTGTTACTTATAATAACTCCTAGAAATGTTTCTTGTTGGTGAAGTGGCTAATGATGTGTAGACATATATTCCAATATCTCCAAAACAAAATTACATTGGCAAATTCTACTCTTTAAGAGATAACAAAAACAAAAATGAAATAGTAGTGGATTCAAACAATATTGAAATGTGTTCAGTAAAACTATCATACGCTGGACTTGTCATTTCCCCGAATTAGTATTTACTACATGGACTATGATGATGAATCTTAAAAGCTTTACTCAAACGGACAAGATGTGAGCATTGGTGGAGCTGTGTGTATGTGTGTGTTATAAAAAGAAGAAGAAGAAAAAAAAAAGAGTTCATCTGACATAAGTTGCACTACAGTATGTCATCTTGTCTTTGTAGAGGATGATATGATGAGCAATACACTAAGATGGAGTTTGTGTTAAGTACTGTCTAATGTTGTAAGGAGTTATAGAAAGTGCTGCTGTGGTGCATGTAATGAGAAAAGGGAATGGCAAAGCACTGTGGGGTGATGAAGAAAATCATGAAGCAGAAAGCAGGGAGCATGGCTGTGTGTATAACAGATGAGTAATACAGTTGTATTACTCTCAAGAATACAAAGGTATCATAGCATGGCTGGGTGATGTAGCATGAAGTTAGGATGAAGCAGGTTGCAGTAAGGCAGTGTAAACTGGGATGATGTGTGTGGTGCAGAAAGTGTAAGAAAGGGGTGAGAAGAGGAGACATAATGAAAAACAAATCTAGCAGAAACACTCAGGTGACCCAACTGTCCTGTCTCCCTGTGAGTATATCTTGTCAATGTCCACCATCAGCTGATAACATATTCTTCACCATAAGTCTTTAAGCTTCAGGTACTGACGATGAGAAGGCTGGTTTCATTGCTTCACAGTCACAACATATGGCGCTTTGGGTCGCACAAGTACATTTATGCCTTGAATACAAGTGAACATTCCAAGATGCAAAAAGAAATTACACTGGTTTTTAGCCTATTTACAATTATTGCATCACCCTCAAGGGCTACAATATATTGAGTCTATGAAACAATGATTAGTTCCTAGTGCAGCTCTAAGCTGACTTCCAAGCACCACTCAAAAGATAGAGAAACCTTACTTAAATTCATAACAGTTTCCCAATCTGCAATCAATGTCTTGCTGTTGTAGAGAAGTCACCCCATTATTACTTTCATTATGAAAAAATAGACATTAAACTTTCAATAAAAAGACAAAACTGTTTCGAACTGTAAGGTTTCAAAATAATACTATGGCAAGGACCCCCTCTTTACTACATACAAGTGAGGTGCAACTCGCAGGCAGAATCACAGAACTTTTGCTAAAATTACTTTGATCGCTGAGCTCGGGTGCTGGTGGTTGTTGCGAGTGTCAAAAAACAACAGATTTTTTTCTTGAGGTTATCTTTAAAAGTTTTTTTTTTATCACTGGGAATGTAAAAATGTATATCTATTTACACATTTTGATGATACCATTGATAATGGCACTGAATACTTTTAAACTATGAAATAGTGAACAAACAATCACATGTGCTGTGCCACATGAATGTGTCCTGTTTTGCAACTTTCTGCAGCTTTCTTACATCCCCTTCCACCAGGTGGCTCTGACACCTCCATCTGGGCATTTTGATTTGCAACCACGAAGCAAGCAGTTTCAAATGTCATTTAGGAACACTCCAAGAACCACAGCCAAGCAATCAAAGCCTATTTGAAGGAGTTCTCTTTCTTACCAAAAAATCTGTTATAATCACCCTAGGGATCTTCAATTCAACACCCTATATCATAAATAAATATTTTTTCATTTTTAATCATAGTCACACTATATAACAATGGCACTAAAATAGGCTTCTTTCTAAATATTTTAAAACCTAAATGAGTGTTATGATACTATTAATTTGAGTCTATGTTACTTTTTTCTTTTTTTTTTTAATTCTTAAAAATGGAACAATCAGGTTCACTACAATAATGTACCAGTGGTAATGGCAAATTCTGATTTTAAAAGTCACTTCTGCTGGTTCCTCTTCTGGTGACCATTCCCCTTATTCAGTAGAGAACTCTGCATCAGAAATGCTATTCGTAACAGCTTCTAAAACTATTCCAGCCAACTACTCTGCGACGACAACACAACTACCTGCACGAGTCTCCTCTTATAACCCAATGTAATCCCATTTTCTTACCTATGTATAAGGCTCATATCTGCACCCATTTTTTTTTTTTTTGAGAAACTTCTACACATATCTTATCACTGAAAAAACTTCTCCTTTGTTTTACATACACTGGGTGTCACATCACAGTCAATCAGTAAACCAGACCATTGTTGCTGCCACACAGTGCCACTTGTAAATGCCATATAAAAGCTGGCATTCAAACTCAAAACATTTTTTTTTACTCTCTCTTTGCAAAGCTGGCATTATTCAGCCTACATATAAAATATAAATGCTGCACTGCTTCAACTTGCTCCAGAGCAAGTCTGTTCCACTCGTAGTCCTGAAAGATGAGAAAATATGATATATTGACAAACATGTATAAAACATAATTATAAACAAACAACTTTGATTCTAAGGAAAACATTACACTATTAATTAATATTAAGCTATATTCTCCTATAATCTGACACTATGAGAGAAAACCAATACTGACCAAAGCATCCCCTTTCTTTATTTATGAACAGAAGAAAAAAGAGAAAGACTAAAGAAGGGAATGACAATGAAAGTATGAGGTCTTCATCTACTGAAAACCTATGAAGAACTAGGATCGTTAAATGAACAGCATTCAAGATAATCAACTCCTAACCCCCTCTAGACTCACCTTCTAAAATGTCTGATTAAAAAATTCTAAAAGTAGGGTAATTTGTGTAAGAGAAAATGAAGTTGGGAAATGGAGATGGACAGGTAGGAAACAAGAAAGAGTGGGGGAGAGGGAGGGAGAGTGGGAAAGAGGGAGAGTGAAAAGGAAGAAAGGAAGGAAGGAAGGAAGAAAGGAAGGAAAAGGAAGGAAGGAAGGAGGGCAGGAGAGAGGGAGGGGGGGAGGAGAGGGGAGGAGAGGGAGGGAGGGGGGGGAGTGGGGAGGGAGGGGGGAGGAGTGGGGAGGAGAGGGAAGGAAGGGAGGGAGGGAAGGGAGAGAGGGAGAGAGGCAGAGGGAGAGGGGAGAGGGAAAGAGGGAGAGAAGAGAGAGGGAAGGGAGGAGAGAGAGAGAGAGAGAGGGGGAAGAGGAGAGAGAGGGAGGGAGAGAGAGAGAGGAGAGGAGAGGAGTGGGAGAGAGGGAGGGGAGAGAGAGGAGAGAGAGAGAGAGAGAGAGAGAGAGAGAGAGAGAGAGAGAGAGAGAGAGAGAGAGAGAGAGAGAGAGAGAGAGAGAGAGAGAGAGAGAGAGAGAGAGAGAGAGAGAAGAGAGAGAGAGAGAGAGAGAGAGAGAGAGAGAGAGAGAGAGAGAGAGAGAGAGAGAGAGAGAGAGAGAGAGAGAGAGAGAGAGAGAGAGAGAGAGAGAGAGAGAGAGAGAGAGAGAGAGAGAGAGAGAGAGAGAGAGAGAGAGAGAAGAAGAGAGAGAGAGAGAGAGAGAGAGAGAGAGAGAGAGAGAAGAGAGAGAGAGAGAGGAGAGAGAGAGAGAGAGAGAGAAAGAGAAGAGAGAGGAGAAGAAGAGAGAGAGAGAGAGAGAGAGAGAGAGAGAGAGAGAGAGAGAGAGAGGAGAGAGAGAGAGGAGAGAGAGAGAGAGAGAGAGAGAGAGAGGAGAGAGAGAGAAAGAAAAGAAAGAGAGAAGAGAGAGAGAGAGAGAGAGAGAGAGAGAGAGAGAGAGAGAGAGAGAGAGAGAGAGAGAGAGAGAGAGAGAGTAAAGAGAAGAGAGAGAAGAGAGAGCCAAAAAGGAGCATAAATAATCAAATACCATGCAAACCAAAAAGCCTCATACCCAGAGTTAAAAATGATGAGACAAGTGCTATGACAGTAAGTTCATCAGCAGTTGTAAGAATCGTAAGTATACATGACACGTCCGTTGTTTGCCATCTTGTCCAGAATGCCACTAACAAACTCTGTCACGTCCATGGGGTCCTCTCTCGATCGCACGACGAACTCGTGCTCGAGGAGCTGTTTATACTTGGGTCGTGAGCTTTCATCTTTTATTAAGCTATTGAGGAAAAGAAAAATGATTCATTTGTAAGTTTTGTATATAATTTGATTAAAAAAAGTAAAATCATGAACCAAATACATTTGTATATAATCTGATATAAAAAAGTAAAATCATCAACCAAAAATACATATACAAGACAAATAGAGAGAGAGAGAGAGAGAGAGAGAAAAAAAAAATACTTAACAACAACAACAACAATAATAATTATAATAATAAAGAAGCCAGATAAAACCTACCATGTATTAACAAAACTAACAAACTCCTCGGAGAAAGTGTTGCCATTCTCGTTGGGTGAAAGACGTGGTGGCTCTCCTTGCACTACTTGCGTTAGCTGCTCGAAAACAGAATTCCACTTGGGATATGGGAAACTCCCTGTGGCCAGCTCCATCAAGGTGATACCCAGGGACCACACATCAGAGCGAACATCATATCCCCGGGCTCTGGCTGGGTCTATACGTTCTGGCTGCAAGAGGATTAAACCATAGCCATAATATCGATACTATAATTATCTCAATGTTAATTATCAAGCATCTATCTAATTTTTGTATTATCATTATTATAATAATCATTATCATAATAATGCAAAAATATTTTTTGCTTTCAACTAATCAAATTACCAAGCATTATAACTGAAAAATGGCCAACACTTGATTTTTTTTTAAGCCATAATACTTATTTCATACAAGATAATTGCAGCGGAAACTTATTAGAAAGCAGAAAGAGAGAGAGATAGAGAGGGAAAGGAGCCAGATGTGAAATAATTCCCTCATGAATATTAATCCTGAACATCAACATCACTATCAGCGACTCATTATTATTTTTTTTTTTTTGAGGGGGAGGGGGGTTAAATGTGCTACATAGTCCATCTTCTTTGATTTCTTCATTCTTTTAGGTGGAGTAAAATCCATAATGTCAACTCATTTGGATACTAGCTTTAATGATCTACCACTAAAAACCATTCTAATTGTGCTGTAAAACTACACTAGGAAAAGGAAATTCCCATTGAAATATAATAACTTGATAATACAAGCAAATCCAACTTACTGCCATATATGGTCTACATCCAGCATCTCTTGTCTTGGCGATGGAATCCACAAGCTGACCAGAAATGCCAAAATCACAGAGCTTGATATTGCCGCGCTTATCCAATAAAATATTAGATGGCTTCACATCACGATGGATTATTTTCAACTTCTCCTTTAAATAGTTTAGTGCTGTTAGTGTCTGGAAAAAATAAATAAAAATAATAAGTAAGAATTAAAACTAACACACAGCTGACCTTACATTTTCTTTGATCCGAATTCTTTAGATAAAAGATAAAAACAAATTTAGGTGTAAAAATATATATCGTTCCAAATAATAAATGGCAATACTTACTGCAACAGTTATTTTTCCAAGCATGTTTTCTGGAAGACGTTCATGTAAACGCTCATATATAAATTTATAGAACTTGTCCAGTGACGTGTCCATAAGCTCCATGCATATCCAACAGTCACCCTGGAATAAAAATTAAGTACTAGGTTTATCTTTTGCTCTATACCAAATGAAACTCTTACATTGCATAAAAAAATATTTTGTGCATGTAAATGTGTGTGTGTGTGTGTGTGTGTGTGTGTGTGTGTGTGTGTGTGTGTGTGTGTGTGTGTGTGTGTGTGTGTGTGTGTGTGTGTGTGTGTGTGTGTGTGTGTGTGTGTGTGTTGCATGAGGAACTAAAATACTGGTGAAATTAAATTTGCAACATCCAAATTCCTTTAGGGCAACTTTCCCTTTCACCCATACTCTGCTTTGGCACACACATTTCAAATTGTTCATTTGCCTTCTGATACATTTTCTTTATAAAACATGTATGGCTCTTACAGCAAAGGAATTTAAGATTTCTATTACTGAGACACTTAAAACCCATGCTGTAGTATGGAGATAACAGAGCATGATAAACAGTAAATAAAGCTTTAAAAAACAAATGGCTAATCAATCTAGCAACTATCACTATACAATTCTTCTCTGGATAAAATTGGGAAGCTAGCAGGCACCCAACCACTCAGCAGGAGGCTTTCCATGGGTACTGTATATAAATTACTTCTAAAACAAAAACAAAAATAATTATGTTTTTTATTCAATAATTTCAGAACAAACTATCAGTTTATTATAAATTAATATAAATAAATAAATAAATAAATAAATAAATAAATAAATATATATATATTAAATATATTATATTATATATATATATATATATATATATATATATATATATATATATATTATATACATAAATAATATAAATAAATAAATATAATAATATATATATATACAAAAATATATATATTTATATAATATACATAAATATATATATATATATAATATATATATATATATATATATATATATATAATATATTATAATATATATATATCATCTCACTTACTACATATTATTTCACTCACCTCCTTGAATATGGCACCATAAAATTGAACAATACAAGGGCAGTCGTTGCTTCGCATAACTACCTCTAAATCCATCAAGAGTTGCTTCTGTTCTTTCTCATCAACTGTTGAACGAATTCGCTGTGAAAGGAGAAAGATATTAAGTTTGTGAGTGAATAAGTGAATTTTTTATACAAGAAGGGAAAAAAGAAAGAGAGAAAGAATGAAAGAAAAGAAAAGAAAAAGAGAGAGAGAGAGAGAGAGAGAGAGAGAGAGAGAGAGAGAAGAGAAAATCTGTAAAGTCTCAAGATGGAAATAATTTTATAATGTATTTATACTAATATAAATTCAAAGAAAACTACAAGACTCAACAGCTTACAGTATTCAAATACTGAAACTAGTATAGGAAATCAATACATATGGGAAAGTAATTTACAAATCTGCAGTATAGAATATACAATAAATAAAATAAATAAAGAAAATTAGATCACAAAAGAGTAAGAAAAAAGAAATACAGCCAAAAAATTGTGAAAGGAAGAAAAAAGAAAAAAAGAATAATGTTAAAAAAAGGCAACGAAAGACACATACGGATACGAGTTCAGAAGAAAGAAAGAAAGAAAAACTAATCAAGAAGAAAGCTGAATATTTAAACACTCACCTTAACAGCCATGATTGTGTTACTCTTACGATGCACCATTTTATTGACAGTGCCAAAACCTCCTCTTCCAATCTCCCCTAAATCACGAAGGTCGTCCGCTGTGAACTCAACTTGCTGTATGGAAAAATTACAAAATAATGACACAAAGATACAAAGACACAATACAACTGACAAAAGCAGCACACCTCACACACCACACACACACACACACAAACAAAAAGGATACAGAGTATTCTACTCCTCTCTTACACCAATATCTGAATGCAATATTGCAATATTTCTCTTTCTACAAGAAAACAAACTAATTCCACATCAGGAAGAAAAACTATTCAGATAGGTCAAGTATT